TCAAAGCGCTTCACAGGATTTATTGTAACGGGAAGTGACTGTATTTAGTAGACAAATCTATGAATAGTTCACATGATGAAATGGTGTTAATTGAAATTTTAAAAATCTTCAGATAATGACGATGATGGTTACTGGAGCTATTTCCGGTTAATTGTATGTGTCACTGGTTGAATTATAATAAATAAATATAATTCTTGCATTTGATATAGCGCTGGTCACGTCTTCTAGAAGTCTCAAAGCTCTTCATAGAATATACTGTAAAGTGAATTTACTGTATATTTGTAGGCGAAACACGGCAGCCAATTGCACATAGCAGTTTCCCACAAACAGTTGGGGATTGAAGTGACCAATTTATTATTGTTTTTTCTTTTAGTTTATTTTTTTTAGACTAATTAAGGAATTATTCCCATGTTAGCAGTGAGGGTAGATGGGAGGGCACAATGACCTTTGAATGGGATGTTAAACTGAGGTCCCGTCTGCCTGATCAGGTAAACATTAAAGATTCCGTGGTACTATTCGAAAAGAGAAAGGAATTTTTCCTTGCATCCTGGCCAACAATCCCCCAAATAAAATTGGGCTGTCTCCTACCAAGCCAGTCCGGAACCTTAGCGTCTTGTTTGACCCTCAACTTTTTTTTCTACCCCACTTCCGTGCCATGACCCGCTCTGCCTCAGCAACATCATCCAGCTCTGCCACTGCCTCACTCCGCTGGCTGCCGAGACCCTCATACATGCATTCATAACATCCAGGCTGGACTACGCAAACTCCCTGCTTGCCGGCCTCCCCAACTTCTCCCTCCATAAGCTGCAGATCACTAAATTCTGTGACCCTATCATCCCTATCCTCGCCTGACTCCACTGGCTTCCCATCACACAGAGGATACAGTTCAAGATCCTGGTCCTCACCTTCAAAGCCCTCCATGACCTTGCTTTCCCCTACCTCTGCGACCTCCTAACCCCCTACCAACCTCCCTCCGCTCAGCAGGCTCCGGCCTGCTTCACATCTCCAACACCTTTGGCGGGCGAGCCTTAAGCCACTCTGCCCCACCCTCTGGAACTCCATCCCGTAGTCCCTCCACCTCTTCCTCCCCCTCCCTTGCCTCCTTCAAGACCCATCTCAAGACCCTCCTCTTCAACTGTGCCTTCGGTCACCCTCCTTCCCCCCCTGCCCTCCACCCTCCCCGATTCCGACCCCAGCTCGGGTTCGAAACACTGATTGTCCAGCGCCTTGGGACGTCCTCTCGACGTGGAAGGCGCTATACAAATGTAATTTGTTGTTGTTGTTATAACTCTTTGTGGTACATTGCTATGCGCAAATTGTATTAAATAATAATAATCCTTGCATTTGATCTAACGTCTTTCATGTTGTGATGGATGACATCTCAAAACCCTTCTCAGGATGTGCTGTGAAGTGCAATGACTAATTTGTGTGCGAATGCAAGCAGGCAATTTTTAGCCAGGAGTGTTCCACAAACAGCCATGAAATGAAGGACCAATTTTATTTGGGGGAAATGTTGACCAGGACACCAGAAGAATCTCGATTGCCTTTTGACTATAAAATACACAGTCACTACACTTTAAAGTAAATCCTGTGAAGCATTTTGAAACATCCTTTTGGTGTGAAACAAGCTGTATCAAAGGCAAATATTATTATTTTAGTAATTATTATTCATAAGTATTATTTAGTACTATCATTTTTCTGACTTGAATACATTCAGCAGAGCTTGTAGGAGGTTTGTTAGTACTTCCTGTGGTATCATTCAATTCTTTTTCAAAAAAATAATAATGGCAAACTCAACGTAAGTAGTCCCAGATGGGGGATATTTGCTATGAAGCTTTCCAAGATTTTCCTGTGGGTTCTTGCTAGTTGCTGTGCACATCTTTGAACAATTCTGCTGTGCCTGCTGCAGAATAGATTCTTGATTCAATGCAGTTTTGTGTTCAGTGGAAGTTTATGGCTACAAGGACTGAGGTTAGCGACGATGATCTTCTGCCGTCCATTCATGGTCCTGCAACATCCTCTCATTCTTTTATTTTACATTGGATTGTTCCTATTCATTAAACTCCAGGACCAGCTGGCTGATACCACCACACTAGGCACTGAGCGTCATAACCCCATCCTCACCTGGCACCACTGGCTCTTCCTCTGTGACTTTCTAAAACCCTATAACCTGCCTGCTCCCTTCACTCGGCAGGCCTTGGCCTGTTTCATGTCCCCCATCCTGCCTGCCCCACCATCAGCGGTTAGGCCTTCAGTCTTTCCGCCTCCACGTTGTGGACCTTCATCCTGGAGTCCCTCCACTTCACCCCTTCTCCTTCTCGCCTCCTTCATGGTCTGTCTCTAGACCTTCCACTCCGAGCGCACCTTCAATCATCTTCCCACCATTTCCCTCTCCCCCCTCCCTTAGCCCACTCGAATCCAACCAACAGCTCAGGTGCAAACCCTCAACTGTCCACCTCTGGGACGTCCTCCCGACATGTAATTGGTTGTTGTTACTGGTAAATATGTTGCCCAGAGTTAATCTGAGGTGGACGGACTTGCACCGTCCCAGCTCTGATATTCAATCTGCGTTGAATTTGCTGACATCAGCTGGGATGGTGTCAGGGGAGCTTGAATTAGCCGCAGTGCCTTACAGTATAGAGGGAAGAAAAATGAGTTGTAGCTCCTGATTACTATCCAATGAATCCTTGCTGGAAAGAGCAGGTGTATAGACACCGCTGTGTGAGAAGAGGATTGGGCAGAACTGTGACACTTAACGTGGGACAAGTTAGCAATCTACACATAGGAGGGTTATTCTGCTGCACTCACTAAATGTAACAACTTTGTTGCTCTGTGCATAGAAACACATGCAATTTTATTGATATGTTATGTATAATTAGAATTTCACTGCTTATTTATAAAGTTATTCTGCTAAAGTTAGCAAATGGTCCCCAGAGACAGGATGACTGATGTGGGAATGGAAAATGTTACACCAGTGCTATAAGGATACTCATTTGAGTTTGGGGCTAAGGCACGTTGAGTAGATTTAGCTTGAGGCTGTATCTAACTAACTGTGTTATACTGGGAGTGCTCAACTTTGATACTGGTTGACTGAAATAGAAGAGCATACCATTTTCCACCATTGAACTCTCATGTTGACGAGCACAAGAATCACAGTCTGGATCTGCGACATATTCAAACTTAAAGGATAGGAATGTGCGATCCTTAAAAAAGGCAGAAAAATGTAATATAGATGCATAACGGTAATCGGAGCCCCAATATGTTCCTGTTTAATTGGCCTATGTGCTAGTGCCCTTTGTAAAACGAGATGTCAGATACGTACTTTTAAGAAGAATGAGCTGTATTGCTAGGGGTGTGTATTGCCAATGGTGGAGGACAAGTTACACACGTGGGAGATTGACACGTCCTGCATATTTGAGGAAGTGAGACAAGAATACAGAATTTGCTCAAAAATGTGATTTCAGGATGATTGAAACATGAAAATTGTGTCATTGTGGTAGCATCAAGGTAAAACTGTACATATGCTGCCTGTTTTTCCCTCAAACATTGTATTACAGGATTTTTTGATTTTTTAGGATCTTGCTGTCAAGTGTTTAGATCATTTTGGTGGGTGGGCAAGCAGGTTAGAAGCGGGCTTTTTTTTCCCCCATTTCCCTTGCTGTTGCTTCATGTTGTGCTATTTTCTTTCTCCCCTCCCGTCCCATACAAATAATTTGATTTGTTCATTCCTCCTCGTTCGGCACGAGTCGTTGATGTTGTGGGTATTAACTAGTGATCTGCAAGAATGTAGCTGGATCATCAACAACCAATTCTGGTCCTTTACCTGCAAAAGACTTCTAGTGACAGCACTTGGGGGGCGGGGGGGTGGGGGTTGCATTGTTAGAGGTACCATCCTTCAGATGAGGTGTTAAACTGAGGACTTACTTTGAAGTGGAGTGACCGTTTATTTTGTAGTCAAACACAGCTACCATTGTACACACAGGAATGTCGCACAAACAGCAATGGAATGAATGAATAATTTTATCTGGGGAATGGTTAGCCAGGACACCGGAAGAAACTCCCTTATCTTTTTGAACAGTGCCATGGGATCTTTAACGTCCACCTGAATCGGCAAACGGGGCCTCGGTTTAAAAAATCATCTGAAGGACGACACCTGTAAAAATGCAACGCAGCCCAACACTGAATTGTGGAGAGTCAGCCTAGACTATATAAGTTCAAAGTTTCCAACATGGGGCTTGAACTCACAACCTTCTCAATCGGAGGTGATAGTGCGATCACTTGAGCCAGGCTGACGATCTGGCATAACCTGCTATCTGGAGTTTGGTAGCATGTTCAGTATCAGAGGATATAAGGATTTACCTATCTCATCCTGCTGCAAGTGTACCTCCCGTCAGCTGGTCACAAAGTCGCTTTGACTGCCGCATTGGAGGCAGTTGCATTTCTCAGGAAATAAGAGATAATCATGGATTTCAAAAAGTAATAATATTGCTGTCAGCAGTAAAGGATCAGCTTGCCGTACGTGCATTGTTAAATAGATGATGCATGTTAGGCATCCTTGGAAATTGATATTTATCTAATGGGCAGATGTGATTTGATGATTCACTTGTACTACTCATACGTCTGTCTGACTGATAAATATTGCATTTTGTGTTGGCTGTTTATACGTCCTTGAACAAGGCAATTGTGGCATTTTCGGAGCACAGTGCTCTTTTATGTGCAACGTAAGAATGTTTGGTTTCTATTTGTCTACTGTAGTACTTGGAAATAATGCAGGTAAATATTTATAAAATTGTGAATTCTTCTCCTTTGTCTGCAGACGTGAATATGTATGAGTTTGTTGAGATCCAAGTGTTATTCAAGTCATTTTTTACATGCACCAGACCGTGATGAGGATTTATTTAGTGAAACATAGTAACGTCTAATCACATTTAATGTCTATAATAGCAATGTTATTAAATAATTTTTTTAAAATCATTTTTTTCCTTTCCATATAATTCTAGGTTTCAGCTGTTCCTTTTTAAAGTAATCCTCGACCAGCAGACTCCATCCAGCAAAGAGGCCAGAAACGAAACAGCGGCATTTTAAAATAAAGGCTGACAGCCAACCATCGAGGGAGCTATGAATTGTGTGGAAGTTTAAGACACGTTTGTATCTATGGGATGGCTTCACTGGGACAGGCAGTGGAGGGAGAAAGATTCTTGCCTTGCACTGTAAGTATCGTGCGGACAACAAGTAAATATTTAAGAAATAAGACAGTGGCGGTGAATGAAAACGATAATCCAGACGTGGAACACATGGAGGCAGAGAAGCTTGATGCGAATTTGGATGGCAACGACAGAGATGAGAGGAAATCTCCAAAGTTTATTTGCCAAACCTGTGAAAGGAGCTTTCCTTTTCTCAGTGTACTGTCAGTCCACATGCGAACTCACACAGGGGAAAAGCCCTTTAAGTGTCCGTATTGTGACCACAGAACCTCCCAGAAAGGTAATCTCAAAATACACATCCGAACCCACAAGATGGGAGACCTGAGTGAGGGACATGAGAATGACATGGGTGATCAACAGCTCAAGGAGGTCAGTGCATCGGAGAAGCTGAATGCATACACGAACCCAATGAAAAGCAGGTCTTCTTCCAATAAGGTACAAAATGGAGTTACAAAAATAGACAATGGGAAGATCATTCTACGAAGGCTGAAAAAGGAAAAGGAAACGCTCAGTGCTAATGGCAGTGAGACGTTCCAGTGCTCTTTCTGTAAAGGGAAGTTTGGGAAGAAGCATGAACTGGAGCAGCACGTGCAGCTGCTGCACAAGTCTTACAAATGTCGGCTGTGCAAATACATCACGTTGAGAGAAGACAAACTGCTGAGCCACATAGAAAAGATCCACATCACCGTCGAAACAGCAAAAAGCGAAGCCGAGAGCAGGAAAAGTGAACAAACTGTGAACGAGTACACATGTGAAATATGCAGACAGACGTTCTCCCAGTCCTGGTTCTTGAAAGCCCATATGAAAAAGCACAACGGTTCCTTTGGACATGGCTGCCACGTTTGTGGAAGGAGGTTTAAGGAATCTTGGTTTCTCAAAAACCACATGAAGGTGCACGGGACGAAGAGTGCAAGCAAGAATAAAGTCAGTAAAAGTGACGTGGAGAATACGGCCACCATCAATGATGTGGTTCAGGAGGACACAATCGGCCATGCCTTTTCACAGTATAAAATCTGCATGAAATGTGGCTATTTGTTTCCAAATAAAGAAAGTTTAAGAGAACATGACAAACTGCACTACAGAACAACTGAAGCTTCCCTTGGAGGAAAATTAAAGTCTAAAAGAGAGACGTCAATTACCAGAGGCACTGAAACCGCAACCACAAAAGAATATTTCCTGAGGTGCCTGAATCTGAGGCCATCTGTGACATTGGACAACTTTACAAGTCGACTGTCTGCAAAGGGAATAGCTGAGCTCGACCCAGTTAGTAGTCACCAGGCTTGGCATTTGGCTACCAAAGGAAAAGTAGCAGAAGTCACTGAGTATGCACGGCACAGTGGGCTGAATGGTGTACTTCAAGTTTCGGATATCACTTACAACAAAGAGGAAGGAGAGTACATTGTTATCAGTGCTGAGAAGCGGAAACGGGATCAAGATGCTCATCGCACAGGCTACCCAAAAAAACGGAGTAGGACAGGTAACCTGTGTGACAAAGACAGCTCATTGCCAAACAGAGGTAGCTCTGTGGATGCCAAAAACAGCACCGATTTTAGACCTCCATCTCGCCAGAGCAGGAGGTCATCACAGAATAAAAGCACTGAGTGTTTTGAGTGTGGCAAGGTGTTTAGAACTTATCACCAGGTGGTGCTCCACTCAAGGGTTCACAGAAAGAACAGGAAGAGCACATGCAAACGTGAACAGGCATCCCAGGGTGGAAGACGTGGCTCCACCAGTGAGGTAGACTCCAGTTCAACCAGTAGACCTAGCACCCCAAGCTCTGCTTCCGTTCCAGAGGATGTAGTGATTCCAAAGCTTGGGGAAGAAGGCATCGTCTGCTCCAAGGACGGTCCACATATAGCCTCAGATGGTAGAGCACAGATCATATTAGAGGAGTGTTCACAGACCCTGTTAGAGAAAGGTGCAGAGACCCTATCAGAGGAAGGTGCACAGATCCCGTCAGAGGAGAGTACACAAACTCTATCAGAGGAGAGGACACAAACTCTATTAGAGGAGAGGACACAAACTCTATCAGAGGAGAGGGCACAAACTCTATCAGAGGAGAGGACACAAGTTCTATCAGAGAAGGAAGCACAGGCATTATCAGAGGAGAGTGCACAGACTCTATCAGAGGAGAGTATACAAACGCTATCAGAGGAGAGGACGCAAACTCGATCAGAGAAGGAAGCACAGGCGCTATCAAAGGAGTGTAAAGAAATTCTATCAGAGGAGAGGACACAGGGTCCATCAGAGGTGTGTACACAAATACCAGAGGAAGGAGCACAGACTCTATCAGAGGAGGGAGCACAGACTCTATCAGAGGAGGGAGTACAGACTCTATCAGAGGAGAGTACACAGAAGCTATCCCAGAAACTCTCACAGACCCCTTCAGAGGAAAGAGAGCAAATCTTGTCAAAAGAGGGTACACATATCCTATCAGAGGGTCGTTTACGGATCGTGTTGGAGGAGGATGTACGGTTGCCATTGCCATGTTTAGGTAAGACATTTTCTGTAAGGCAGTTACAAGGCAAGCTCTTTGAGAAATCCTCCCAACATGAAAAGCACTATATATATGTAAATTGTATTGTAAATTGTGCTGCAAACTGTTTTGTGAAAACATTGGGGGGGGAAATTGTGATATACATTTTTCAAAAAAATTAAATCATCTGGGGGTGTGGGTGACCCTAACGAGCAGCATGTTTCGTCTCGATGCCTAGTTACCCTGAGAAGGTGGTGGAGCCTTCTCTTTAAACCTCCGCAGTACTTCTGGCTATAGTGCTCGTGGTAGTGACTCATTGTGGGAGCACCATTTTAGTGGTGTTGAGGAGGGAGTTCCAGGATTTTGACCCAATGACAATGCAAGTCTGTGTATATCCATGTCAGGATGGTGAATGACTTGATGGGAACTTGGAGATGATGATGTACCCACAATATTTGCTGTTCTTCTCCTGGATGGTGGCAGGAGATTTTATTCGGCAGATTTTTTATTGTAATTTAGCCAGGTCCAGGGGCATGGAATTGATTCCTGAAGATCTTTTCATTTATACTTATTTTTAAAACTGGCCAAAAAAATCCCTGCTGCTGGAGAAAAGGATTAAAGACTCCCACGATTGTCGCTCGCTATTTTTAAGTGAGCGAAGCTTTTAATCCCATCCCCAGGAGCAGTGGTTTTGGACTTGTTGCCAGATACTGTGGTGTCCTTTGGCTCCTCACTAACTTTTAAAAAATGTGTGTGTGGGGTGGGGGGCAGGGTGGGGTGGGGTGTGTGGGAATGGAGGAATTATTCAGTGCCAAATCTGTCATGAACATCAAAGTTTCTCACATTTATAATACAAAGTTACATTTAACATTTCATCTCAGGAGGATGTCCCAAAGCACTTTTTACCAGCAGTTACATAGCAGTTCCTTAAATATTCCCGATGATGTGTTTTAGCACTGTCCTAAAATTAACCCAATATTTCTGTATAATTTCTGGTTTACATTACTCATCATAATTATAATAAAATAATCCTGGCATTTGATATGGTGCATTTCACATCAGGAGGTCATCTCGGAGCACTTCACAGCGCTTTACTGTGAAGTGGGGGTGACTGTGTATTTGTAGGTGAACGTGTTACAGTCCACTTGAAAGATGGGACCTCAGTTTAGTATCTCATCTGAAGGACAGCATCTCCAACAATTCAGTCCTCCCCCATCACTGGACTGGAGTGTCAGCCTGGTATGTATGAGTTCAAAGGCCCAATGCGCAACATGAACACGCAAGCTTCCAATTCAAAAGTCAGAATGCTACCAACTAAATCAAGCTAATTATAAGTAAGGAACACATCATGAAAAGCCTTTAATTTGATGCTCTTTGTTGACCCACCCTCTGTTCACCATCGTTCAGATCACTGCCTCTGCACTGATTCAATACAATGCAACATATTTACATTGTTTAGCACCTTTCATGTTGGGAGGAAGTCCCAAAACTCATAATTCAATAATATCAGCACATCTTTGATTTTCATGTGCCCTTCCTCCCATAGATTCAGCAAAATGATACAGTCTGCCTTACAAATACACAGTCATTACACTCTATCGTAAAATCCTGTGAAGCGCTGTGAGATGTTTCAATGATGTGAAAGGTGGTATATCAAACGCAGGGATTATTATTACTGTATTATTATTATCGACATCTGAGTGCTGTAGAGGAGGACCAACTGAATCACGTCAGTTTCTTCTGCTGGACTCAAATGCTGCTTTGAGCACAGCAGATCTCAGCGGGTCTGAAGCATGAAAATCCAAGGCAGTGCCCATATATCTGAATCAGGTCGAAGATGGCGATTGTGTAGAACATGAGGGTGGAGTCTTAATTATGCCATAAACAGTATGGAATTAGCCTTGTTTTGTGACGCTAGGTTTCACAAGGAACAAGATATGAAACATGTGAAATTTCACAACATAGTTGATAGAACATAATAACAATAATTATTATAGAACATCAGCAGTTGGGATAAGATGTAGCTTTGTCGTATTTGGTAAAGGTCAGAAATGTCTGTATATATTTATGTATAAGTGTATGACTTTAAGGAGCAGAAGAAATGACACAGAAGCACGTGACATAAAGAAGCACCTATTCAGCATCAGACCGATGGTTTTACTTTACTGGGATGGTATTGATGAGTACAAGGTTATTGGTACTGTAAGAGGCGAGCAGTGAAGCTAAGGCATATTGGAGCAGAGTTTCCATAGGTTAGTGTAATGTGATTCCGATTACTTTAGCAGCTCCTTTTTGAGGATATTGAAGATATGGCTGTCAAATTGCATTGAACTCTTGCAGTCCAGCTGTTTGTAACATTTATTTTTGTTAGATCCCACTCACTGTCAGTATTATGTTCACATAGTTAGATTTTGTTTATTTTCAGCAAATAGAAATTGCAGTATTTAAATACGAATCATGTTCTTTGTAAATGTTTACTTTATCAACTAATGTCAGCTTATGGTGGTAATAACTATTCTAGTGTGCTTATGTTTGAATGAGGACTGAGAGTGCTTTTTAGGAATGAAATGCAATGAAGTGCTTCAATCAGCCCTCACTTCAACATAAACCACAGCAGAGTATTCATTAACACCCTATCAACTTCAGTTCTGAGGTATCAATATTAGCTAACTAAGATCTATTAATACAGCTTTTAGGACTATCTAGTCTAACTGTATGGCTTTTGGATATTTAAAACATGTTGAATGATTAAACGGTAATGGAGAATTGGTAATTGAAATATGCTGCAGGGCTAATACATTTAGAATATTTAGCCGATGTCTAACAAAACCAGGAGCTGCACACTGTTTAGGAGCTATCTTTAGAGAATTTGCCACCTCTGTCTTTGTCTTAAACGCTATCACATGAACTGTGTCAGACATGAGGCTCTTTCGATAGCTGAATGGGCAATTGTACTGTCACAATTGTACAGACTAGAAGGTTGCAGGTTGCATTCCCAGTCTACTTAGTTTAAATGTTTTAAGGCAATGCAACAATTTGGAGTGCTGTGCAGTTACTATGTGGGTTAGGGATTGGGGAGAAATCATCCCACTCCTGATTGTTATCCAATGTCCCTTTCTGAAAAAATGCATGGATGTGGATTTTGAACGAATACAGGAATGGACTCATTTGTACCGTCAGCCACCACAATCAAAATATGAGACATTCCTTGCTTCTCCACACACTGCACTGAAGGGTCAGCCTAGACAATATGAATTCAAAGACCTGATGTGGGACTTGACCTCACAGCTTTCTGACTCAGAAGGAGTGCTACCAATTGAGCCTGTTTTGAAGGCAGGGAGGGAAGGTACAGCTATTTAGCTCTATATATTCTGCATATAGCAATAGTCGTTCCTGTTAGATGATCGTATTGTTGGAACTCAAGTGGTCAGTAAAAATCCCAAGACGCTTAGAAAAAAGGACGAGTTTCCTGGTGTCTTGTCAACAGCCTCCCAGCTGATTCATGGCTGTTTGCTCTGAACAAAATGGCTACTACGTTGCCAACAAAATAGCTGTCACTACACTTGAACACAATTTTGGTCAGCCACATGGAAATCTGTTTACAATCCTTAACAGTATCCAAACCTAACTGCTGAGATTTCCAGATGTGTATGCCACCAACACGTAGAAATTTTCTTACTTCTGAACTAGAATATGCACGCTCACCAAAGTTGGAACAGTATGAGGCACAGTTTGGTAAAAAAAAACAAGTCTTGGGGATTCCAGAGTTTGGTCATTTAGAGCCATGCAATTTGCCATTGTACATGATCTGGCAAGCTTCCCGCTGCATGTCCAGCCCCGTAGGGCTTTGGTTTATGGGGTTAACATGACCTGAGTGGAAAGAATCCCAATCCCTATTGATTGGCCTATTCACATAAGCACTCCAATGCAACAACAATAACAATGTGCATTTATATACCCGATGTGGGACTTGAACCCACAACCTTCACGTGGGTTAGCGTCCTGGAGAGCTTAGTGCGTTGCTGGGGGTGTGCTGCATTGTTGGAGGCGCTGTCCTTCAGGTGAGATATTAAACTGTGTCGGCATTTGCCTGTCACTACATTTTACAGTAAATCCTTTGAAGCGCTTTGAGACGCCCTCCTGATATGAATGGTGCCATATCAAATATAAAGATTTTTATTAGAATTATTATTCCTTCAAGTCCTTGCTCCTGCAAGTCCTGTTGACAAGCCAGGCTGGCTGGTCATCATCAGTCGTGGCTTGACAATAATTGCAGTGAAAACTTTGAGATGTTTCAACATGCACTGTAAAAATTGTAAGCTCTTTCTTTTTTCATCCTGCACATTTTAATAAATGTTTATTTCAGTATATTTCAACACCACAAAAATATTTCTGCAAAGTCTTTCAGATTGCCAGAAATTCAGCCTAAACTCCAATTTCTCTCTCAACAAAAAATTAGAATTGTAACACCCTTAAATATATGCTGTTGAAAGCAATATAAGCAACTCATGATACTCACTTGTTTTGCCCCAGTGCTTTCAAATTTTATTTTATTTATGATCTTTTCTGCTGTAGAAAATATTTTAAGCCAACAATTTATGCATTTTATTTCTATTGTCTAGTGTTAATATTCATGCCAATACATCTGCTTTTAAGCTTATGGATTCAGAAAGGTTTATTTACTTTTGGTTAGATATGCTGACATGAAGCATTAGGTAATTTCTTTGTTGGAATTTCTAGACCGTACATCATTTGTCAAAATTTGCTGACATTCTTTACACTGTATGGTGACAGTCACATCTTTCTCTCTTATAGAAGCTTATCTACAGTCTGTAAATAACCTGGGTGAAACAAACAATGGCTGGCATAATTATGTTTGGGAACATTTGCTCAATAATCGTACTTTTTGGAGTGGAATAATAATTTCCAGAGGTCACTCTTTCCACAAAATGTACGCTTTTAACAGAATGCAAATCAAGTACAGCAGGCTTTATTTTTGGAGCTGTAAGTGAGAGTTG